ACAAAGAGTCAACCCAAAGAAAATAGAAGGGAGTTCATGATCAAAATATGAGCATAAATTAATGAACTAAAAAATAACAAAAATCAGAAAAGATCAACAAAGAAAACATTGGTGCTTTGAAAAGATAAATAAAATGGATAAACTTATAGCATGACTAATCAAGAACAGCTTTTCCAGGCAAGCTAGGAGTAGAAGGAAGTATTTTCAACCCAATAAAGAATATCTATCAAAACTCTAAAGCAAAACCTCACACTTAATGTTGAAACATTAGATGCATTCCTGCAGAGTCAGGAACAAAAAAAAGGATGCTTACACATCCTGCTTTTTTTTTGGTACTAGAGATTTTAGCCAATGTAATAAGAAAAGAAAATGAGTCAGACAAAAGGATTAGAAAGAAAGAGTACGGACTGATATTATTTGCATAAAACATAATTATCAGCATAGAAAAATCAAAGAAATTCCACATGTAAACCAATAGAACTAATAAGAAAGTTCAGAAGGATCATTGATTACAACACTGCCATTAAAAAAGGAAAGGTGCTCCTATACCTGAGCAATACCAACAACAAATGTATGCAAATAGCAAAAAGATACTCTTCTGTGCAGAAAATCATAAACTGTTACGAAGGACAGAGAGAATAAAATCAACAGAGATACAGCACATTCATAGATGAGATGAATTGATGTTGTAATAATGTTGGTATGTTCTAAATTAATTTATAAATTTAATTCAATTCCAAAAAAATCCAAATAGCATTCTTTCATCAAATCAGACTAATTCTAAAATTAATACAAAAAGTAAGTTATAAAATATATTTTATGGTAAAAGGAATTTGAGGAACAGAAAAATGACAAAAAATTAAGAGAAGTAATATATTAGAGAAAAAAGTGTGTTTTAGAGTTATAATAACTAAAATAGCAAAGTGTTGGCATAAGCTAGATAAATGGATCAGAATAGATCCAAGCCCCTATACAACTAAGGAGCACGATAGAAGTGACATCATAAATCAGTGGGAAAAAGGGAGCAGTGCAGGTGCAGCAGGCACACTGTCCCTTAGCTAATCCTTTAGAGAGATGTAGTTGGCCTTGGGGCAGGATTATTTTACCACTGACATGCCGATTCTTTTGAAGCACCTCTCACTGTAGAACCTGGCTCTACACACCCTCTGATGATTGATTTGGCTTCTCAAGTACCTGGAAAAGAAGTGCTCTGAGAAGAAGATGTCCGATTCTTATTGCTGGAAAAAAATACTTACTGTTATAAATTTGTAAATGAACGGTCTTGTTTGCAGGTTGCATTTTACGAGATAACCCAGCTACTACTGACACGTGAGTGAGTGTGTCAGATGACTTGCAGCCCTGAGGACAAACTGAGAGCGAGGTCTTGAGGGAATGGAGAGGAGGCTGAACATGAGGATGAGGATGCCAAGATGGACGTTGTGAGGTGCTGAAAGGGAAACTGAGAAGATCTCACTTGTAAAGTCTGTGTTGCCCCATTTCCCCTCCTCCCACGAACATCTGCCTCGAGGCATGATCCGAGCAGTTTCTATCCTTACAGTTTCCCTTGTTGTGGAGAAATGGGACAAGGTTAAAAGGAATGGAATTTACAGTAAACTAACAAGGCTGTAGTTAGTTATTAGCTGAGTCAATGAAAACTATTCAGATTCGTCTGCTTATCTTTCTCTTCACACCCAGATGTGCGTGTGGAGTTAGCTTGCAGTCACCTATCAATGACTGCTCATTTTCCAACTAATTTTTAAATCAGTTAGTGGGGCACAATTCTCCCTGCCACCTAGATAAACCACACTGTGAGAATGAGAGGGAAAAAGGAAAGGAGGGAGGAAGGGAGAGAGGAAGGGAGGGGGGAGGGAGGGAGGAAGGGAGGGAAGGAAGGAAGGATAGAAGAAAGAAGAGAGGGAAGGAAGGAAGAAGGGAGGGAGGGAGGAAAGAAAGGAAGGAAGAAGGAAGGAGGGAAGGAGGGAAGGAAGTTAGTTAATAATGTCAAAGTTGGGAAATATTTTTGAGAATGGAGAAGAAATGATAGGAAAAAGTATTATTTTATTTTATTTTTTATTTTTTATTGCATTTTAGGTTTTGGGGTACATGAGCAGAGCATGCAAGACAGTTGCGTAGGTACACACATGGCAGTGTGTTTTACTTCCTTTCTCCCCTTCACCCACATTTGGCATTTCTCCCCAGGTTATCCCTCCCACCTCCCCCTCCCACTGGCCCTCCCCTTTTCCCCCCAATAGACCCCAGTGTTTAGTACTCCCCTCCCTGTGTCCATGTGATCTCATTTTTCATCACCCGCCTATGAGGGAGAATATGTGGTGTTTCATTTTCTGTTCTTGTGTCAGTTTGCTGAGGATGATGTTCTCCAGATTCATCCATGTCCCTACAAACGACACAAACTCATCATTTCTGATTGCTGCATAATATTCCATGGTGTATATGTGCCACATTTTTCCAATCCAGTCTATTATCAATGGGCATTTGGGTTGATTCCAGGTCTTTGCTATTGTAAACAGTGCTGCAATGAACATTCGTGTACATGTGTCAGGAAAAAGTATTTTTTCTCTCTAGTAAGGAAATAGATGCAGACATCAAAATACATTGATGTAGCTACCAAACTAGAAAAAAGTTTTATGAAGCGTTTGGTGCAAAGGATACACTGACAGTAGGACTAGCAGGGACAAACGTTATGGAAAGCAATTAGATATTACATTTCAGTGTTTCAAACAAGTGTCTCAGTGATCTCAGGTCAGGAAAATCTTCATGCATGAAGTGTGGGACAGCCCTGATGCACAGAAATGCTGACTGTAGCAGCTTAACTCAAATTAGCTAAAATGTAGGAAACACTCTAAGGATTTGACAATAAGAGTGGTTTAGTAAATTATGATATGTCTATAAGAACACCATTAAACAGCCATAAAAATGATATTCATAAAGGATTAGTAACATGGAAATACTTTTCCTTATGTTAAATGAAAAAATATAGAAATGTGGAGAAATAGAAGTAGGCAAATAGGCCAGGCACAGCGGCTCTTCCCTGTAATCATGGCACTTTTGGAGACTGAGGCAGGCAGATCTCTTGAGCCCAGGAGTTTGAGACCAGTCAGGGCAATATAGTAAGACCCTGTTTCTGCAAAAAAAATTTAAAAAATAGCCACATGTGGTGGTGCACACCTGTAGTCCCAGCTACTTGGGAGGCTGAGGTGGGAAGATCATTTGAGTTGAGAGGTAGAGGCTACAGTGAGCTGAAATCACACCACCGCACTCCAGCCTGGGCAACAGAGTGAGACTGCTAAAAGAAAAAGAAGGAAAAAAAAAGAAATTGAGATACAGGAAAAATATATGGAGAGAATGTAATAGCAAACACATAAAAAATACACAGAAAAACCAAGAGAATGAAAATGGGAAGAGGGTAGGCTTTCTCCCTGATCTAGCTTTTGTGCCCAAAATAATGTGAAGCACTTCAAAACGTGTCTCTGGAAAGCTAGCAAACCTCACACTCTGCTTCCATTTCTTAACAAAACCTTTTGAAAAGGCAACAGTTTGAGGCTCTGTTTTGAATAAAGCTTCCGATGTGGCCATGATGCTGAACGGAATTGCTGGCAAAGCCCATGAGAGCCATGCACGCTGAAAGCATCAAGTAACCATGGCGAAGGGCCTCTCTTCTCCAAAGTACAGGACAGTGGGTTACCTGCCACCACTGGGCTTCACCTATTCTTGGAGCATCATGATTTTTACCCCTGGAGAAGTGCTGTTTGCCAAGCAAACCTTTCACCATTTTAGAGACACTGACTGAAATTTTTGGAAAGCAGTGCACCAAGTAGGGATTCTTTGGTAGTGACAGTGAGGATGTAATAATCGAACCGAGGGGCTGCCTGTACCCGGTTGCACACTACAGGAGAAGCCACTTCCTGGAGACAGATGATTTCTGTTTTCTTTTGCTCCAAGCCTCAATCAGTTTGACCATTTCCTTAATATGTGATTCATCAAAATATCCCCCCGTTTATCAGGAATGGCTTCTTCAGCTCAACAATGGGCTAAAGCACCTGAGTTGAATCCATCAAGAGAAGGTTTTTGGCCGGGCGCGGTGGCTCACACCTGTAATCCGAGGACTTTGGGAGGCTGAGGCAGATGGATCATTTGAGGTCAGGAGTTCAAGACCAACCTGGCCAACATGGTGAAACCCTGTCTCTACTAAAAATACAAAAATTAGCTAGGTGTGGTGGTGAGTGCCTGTAATCCCAGCTACCTGGGAGGCTGAGGCAGGAGAATCGCTTGAGCCCAGGAGGAGGAGGTTGTAGTGAGCTGAGATTGCACCACTGCATTCCAGCCTGGGAGACAGAATGAGACTCCACCTCAAAAATAAATAATTAATAAATAAAGAAAGAAAAGACCTTTGTCTTGAGGAAGACAAAATACAGGAAAATTTCCAGCCTTTACAAATTGTACCTGATTTTGAAAATGATCTGATGGCTCAATGTATTTTGAGAATGGACAGCAAGTTGTACCACTGGCACTGCAGGATTTATATCCTGTAGCATTTAATGACCTCTTTAGTTGTGAAAATAAAAGCAAAAGATGCTATCTGAAGTTATATATGCCTTCTGTTGTCGTCTTCCAACGTAAGTCTCCTTGATGTAAACAATGACAGGTGTCCAAACCATAATTGTTGGATACATTTGCATCACTTCCCATCAAAGGAAAGCCACTGTAAACATCACAGCATGGTGATCACCTGATCATTGCATATCACTTGCTTTACGCAGTAGCATCCCCGGCCCCCTGCACTTTTTTAAATGGCACAAGACTTAATGACACAATTTGGCATAAAAGGATTTTTTTTTTTTTTTTGCAATACCATTTTTAAAGTAACAGGAAGAAATTTTAAAAAGTTTTTCATTGACCCTCTAAGACTCATTCATAGGTAGCCCTAGTGTATCACTTACCTAAGGCTGCCATATCAAAGTACTGCAAACTGAGTGGCCGAAAACTCCAGAATTAATTACTTTATTTATTTATTCTTTTTTTTTTTTTTTTTGAGATAGGGTTTTGCTCTATCCCCCAGGCTGGAGTGTAGTGGCACAAACGCGGCTCAAAGTCCTGGGCTCAAGTGACCCTCCCATCCCAGCCTTTCAAGTAGCTAGGACTATAGGTGTGTGCCACCACACCCCGCTAATTTTTTTTTTTTTTAAACAGGATCTTACTTAATTGTCCTGGCTGGAGTGCAGTGGTGCAATCTTGGCTCACTACAACTTCCACCTCCTGGGTTCAAGCGATTCTTGTGCCCCAGACTCCTGAGTAGCTGGGACTACAAGTGTGCACCACCATGCCTGGTTAATTTTTGCATTTTTTATTTTTTAGTAGAGATGAGATTTTGCTATGTTGGACAGGCTGGTCTCGAACTCCCGACCTTATGTGATCTGCTCGCCTCAGCTTCCCGAAGTGCTGGGATTACAGTCATGAGCCACCATGCCCAGGCTCACCTGGCTAATTTTTTTTTAACTATTCCTCACTGAGTTTTTGAGACTTTTTTTTTAAAGAAAAAGAGAGAAATAAGAAAGACAAAAGAGAAAAAAGAATGAAAGAGAGGAAGAAAGAGGAAGAGGGAGAGAGAACAGGAGTATTGCTTTATTGCTCAGGCTAGAATGCAGTCTAAAAATGGGTATTGAAAACCTCTTTTATGCCAATAATTGTGCTTAATAATGGAGACAGGAAAAAATGAGGGAAGAAAATAACAAACAAGTAGCCAAACAATATTTCATTTAAACCTGTGAGTAGGTGTGATGTGGTACTGACAAGAGTGTATATTTTGTGTATTTAAAGTGGAGAGTTCTATAAATGTTCATTAAGTTTACTTGTTCCGGATCTGAGTTCAAGTCCTGGATATCCCCGTTGATTCTCTGTCTTGTTGATCTATCCAGCATTGATGAAGTCTCTTTGTAAGTCTTATGTATCCGGGTGTTCCTGTACTGGGTGCGTATACATTTAGGATCGCTAGCTCTTCTTGTTGCATTGATCCCTTTTCCATCTTTGCCTCTTTGGATCTTTGTTGCTTCAAAATCCATTTCATCAGAGGTGAGAATTGCAACTCCTGCTTTTTATTTATTTATTTATTTTTGCTCTCCATTTGGTTGGTAAATCCTTCTCCATCCCTCTGCTTTGAGTCTTTGTGTATCCTTGCATATGAGATGGGTCTGGATGCAACATACCAATGGGTTTTGGCTGTGTCATTTGATTGGGGGATTTAGTCGATTTAAATTTAGGATTAATAATAATATATGTGAGTTTATTACTGCCGTTTGATGTTAGTTGGCTGTTTTGCCCATTAGTTGATGTAAGTTCTTCATTATGTTGATGCTCTTTACTTTTCGGTATATTTTTGGAAAGGCTAATACTGGTTGTTCCTTTCTATGTGTAATGCTTCTTTCAGAAGTGCTTGTAAAACAGGCCTGGTGGTGATGAAATCTCTGAGTAGTTGCTTGTTCACAAAAGATTTTATTTTTCTTTCACTTGTGAAGCTTAGTTTGGCTGGATATGAAATTCTGGGTTGAAAGTTCTTTTCTTTAAGGATGTTGAATATTGGCCCCCACTCTCTTCTGGCCTGTAGGGTTTCTGCTGAGAGATCTGCTGTGAGTCTGATAGGCTTCCCTTTGTGGGTAACCTGACCTTTCTCTCTAGCTGCCCTTAGTATTTTCTCCTTTATTTCAACCCTGGTGAATCTAACGATTATATGCCTTGGGGTTGCTCTTCTTGAGGAATATCTTTGTGGTGTTCTCTGTATTACCTGGAGTTGAATATTGTCCTGCTTTGCTAGGTTGGGAAAGTTTTCCTGAATAATATCCCGAAGAGTATTTTCCAGCTTGGATTCATTCTCTTCGTCACATTCAGGTACACCTATCAAATGTAAATTAGGTCTTTTCACATAGTCCCATATTTCTTGGAGACTTTGCTCATTCCTTTTTATCCTTTTTTCTCTATTCTTGTCTCTCGTTTTATTTCATTAAGTTGGTCTTCGACCTCTGATATCCTTTCTTCTGTTTGATCAATTCGGCTGTTAAAACTTGTGCATACTTCACGAAGTTCTCGTGTTGTGTTTTTCAACTCCGTTAATTCACTTATATTGTCTATTCTCGTTAGCATTTCATCAAATCTTTTTTCAAAGTTCTTAGTTTCTTTGCATGGGGTTAGAACAAGTTCTTTTAACTCCCAGAAGTTTCTTATCATCCACCTTCTGAAGCCTACTTCTGATAATGGAACGCACTCGTTCTCCATCAGGCCTTGTTCCGTTGCTGATGAGGAACTGTTATCCCCTGTAGAGGGAGAGGTGTTCTGATTTTGGGTATTCTCAGCCTTTTTAGGCTGGTTTCTTCCCTTCATTATAAATTTATCCATCTGTCGTCTTTGTAATTACCGACTTTCTAATTAGGTTTCTGAGTGGACGTCCAATTTATTGATTTCCAGCGCTGGAATCTGAGCAACCCACTGCGCCGGCTAAAACAGCGGCATTAAGATTGATGGTGCTTTTCTGCCCTGGAATTTCCGGTCTGGTTTCCTTCTTGAGTTCATCCTTCAATCAGCTGAATAGGTGACTCTGCCTTCCCGGTGCTCCAAACGTCGGCCAAAAGGGGACCCAGTCCTGTTTACTCAGTACCAAGAACCACTGCGCCGAGGCGCCGGCCACAAGAGTCGCGCTGGCAACCCGTGGGGCTCCTCCGCTGGGAATCTCCTGGTCCGTGAGTTACAAAAATTCATCTGAAAAGTGTGGCATCCTCTTGTTCTCTGCAGTTACACTGGGAGCTACGATCTCGAGCTGCTAATGATCAGCCATCTTGGATCGCTCTCCTACCTGGCTAATTTTTTGATGCTTTGTAGAGATGAGGGTCGTGCTGTGTTACCCAGAGTGGTGTCAAACTCCTGGACTCAAACACTGTCCTGCCTTGGCCTTCCAAAGTGCTAGTTTTGTAGGCATGGGTCTCCACACCCAGACCACCAGAAATTTATTGTTTCACAGTTCTGGGCCAGAAGCCTGAAACTGATGTGTCTATAGGGCTACGTTCCCTATGAAGTCTATAGGGGAGAATCCGCCCTTGCCTCTTTCTAGCTTCTAGTGGCTTGCTGATTATCTTTGACATACCTTGTGGCCTCACTGCACTCCCTGCTTTCATAGTCACTCGGCACTTTCCTGTGTATCTCTGTCTTTACATGGCCATCTTCTTATAAGGACACCAGTCATACTGGATTGAAGGGCCCCTGTACTTCAGTATGACTTTATTTTATGCATTTATTTTTTTGAGACAGAGTCTCACTCTGTCGCCCCAGCTGGAGTGCAGTAGCACAATCTTGGCTCACTGTAACCTCCTTCTCCCAGGTTCAAGAGATTTTTTTACCTCAGCCTCCCAAGTAGCTAGGATTACAGGCGTGTGCCACCACACCTGGCAAATTCTTTGCATTTTTAGTAGAGATAGGGTTCCACCATGTTGGCCAGGGTGATCTCAAAGTCCTGGCCTCAAGTGATCTGCCTGCCTTGGTATCCCAAAGTGTTGGGATTACGGGTGTGAGCCACTGCTAATCAGTTAAGACTTCATCTTAACTAATTGCATTTGCAGTGACCCTATTTCTGAATAAGGTCACATTCTGAGATCCTGGAGGTTAGGACTTCAACTTATGTTTTTGGTGGTGATACAATTCAACCCATTACACCTGGGTCCCATGGATTGTGGATTAAGAACCTGCCAAGACAGTCAGAGGGCAGCATGGAGACCCTGAGACCAGAGGGTATGAAACGAGTGCAGAGAAGGAAGTGGTAGGGAGACAAATAGAACCCATTTTGCTATTTTGCCCATAAATTTGGTAGCAATGATCTCTCCCTGCAGATTTGGGTATAGGGACTTGAGTGACTGATGGCAATAGTTGGTGAATTTCCACAGCTGAAGATACTCAAGTTCTAGATTGGAGTCGAGGCTACAAAGGGAAGTTCGTGGTTGTTTACAGGACACTCTCTACAGATGTCATATGTTTGAAAATGTCTGAATTTTGTGCATAGACACACTAGCAGTATTTTCATAAGTGGAGTTACATAATTAGGGCATGGACTTGCATAATAATTAGCATGTATAATTAGGCACAGGCTTCTTGTCCTTTAGACAATCAAGACATCTAATTACAAAATTAAGATGTAATTATGTGGTCCAAGGTCTGCATCTTTTTTTCTACCCATTAGAGATTACATTTAGAAAATAATTCCAAAAAGCTGATGAAGAAATGAACGTAGACGTCGATTTGATGGTGTTAAGGAAAGTGTTAAGGGCTGGTAAGTTTCCTTTGGTCTTTCCTCTCAGTTGTCAGGGGAATTATTTAAAACATTATAGTCCACTTGAAAGAATAACTTTTACCAACTGTGCAGTCGACCTTCGGTACTCACACTAATGAAGAGGAGTGTTGGTATGACTAATCCGTGGCATTCACGCCTGGCTCCTGAGTGTCGTTTGTAATCACACTTGAACATGGACCTAAATGTGATGTACTGGGAATTCATTCAAACCTATTAATGCAGCCATGCAGTGGAAATCTTAGGACAGCTTGGGATAGAGGACATCCTGCCTTTCCATTCTGCCCTGGTTCTCCCTTGTGACCACTTTAAAAATCGACCCATTGGCCAGGCATAGGGGCTTATGCCGTTAGTCCCAGCACTTTGGGAGGCCAAGGCAGGAGGACTGCTTGAGGCCAGGAGTTAAGACCAGCCTGGGCAACATAGTGAGACCCTGTCTCTACAAAAAATCTCAAATACTTGTTAGGAATGGTGGCACATACCTGTTGTCTCAGTTACTTGAGAGGCTGAGGCAGGAGAATCACTTGAGCCCAGGAGTTTGAGGCTGCACTGAGCCTCCATTGCACTCCGGCCTGGGTGACAGAGAGACCCTGTCTCTAAATAAATAAATAAATAACACATTGTTCAGAATAATGCAAACCAGCACCTAAGCTGTGTTGTCCTTTCCCTGGATATTTGAGTATTTTTATTTTAAGTGCTCCTTATTGACTGCAGGTGGGAAAGATCAAAGACTATAGCAAATACTCCGTCCTTCGAAAAAGAGCAATTCTTATAGCAGTAATTGTTTGAATTCCAATACACAGAGAAAGCTAGATTGTAGTGATATTCACCATGTTTTTCCTTGCCCTTAAATTGTGATTTGGCTGATCTCTATGTGATGCTAAACAACCAGTTTGACATATTAATTTTGCTGAACTAACTGAACTTTTGACCTAATTGGCTGCTGGTTAGGGATCAGAGCCATATGTGCAGGTTTTTCTAAGCCAGTTCTGACTTTAACTGTGTTATCCTTCTGTTCCTATAAACTGTTGAAATAACCGAGTAATTCCAATGTTTTGACAGCCACACTGCACTTCTCAGACTGCTGCTTTCTCCTGGAAAGTGGCACAGAAATCTGTCGGACCACGCTTCCTGATTTTTGGTTAAGAAAATATGCTTCCCATATGGTTGCAGGCCGAGAAAACAAAGACTTAAAGAGGTTGTAAGCATTTGGTGATAGGTCTCCTCATGGCGCCTTCCCTCCGTTCCTATTTTTTATATTCTCTATAAGGCCAGGGAATGTGGTGAAGGACGAATTGTGTGTGGCAGGGAGGGGTTAGTGTTGACCATGAAAATACACACATTTGCACAGGGAACTTTTGCCATTGTTGGTTTTTTTTTTACCTTGCCTTCTGAGCAATTGCTCATGATATTTAGAGGCAAAGGAAAGGAACTGGGGAGAAGGGCATTTTTAAAACCATTTGTTAACATGAATTCTAGGTCAGAGCGGGGCAGTTGGACTACATCATCTCTAAGGCATCTCCAACTCACAGGTTTCGGGATACCTGGATCTCCAGCCGGTCACTCAACAGGAGGTATTTACTGGACTCCCACTCAACTCTAGGCCTCTGATTTTTCAGTTCTTAGATGTGTTGACTAGAAACCTATTCTTTTGCCTTTACTTCCATAGAGCTCAGTAATTCCAGTTCCTAACAGCGCCTAAAGCATGAATGCAACTTTTATTTCTCAGCTTTTGAAACCTGCTTTTCCCTCCAGGTACTCCATGTCAGCATTCTCAAGACTGGAGACGTTAGGCATCAGACATCCCAAGCCTTCTCCTTTTATTGGAAACTTGACGTTTTTCCGCCAGGTAAGGTCTGTCTTCTGTTGGCTTCCATCATAAAATATGCTGAGGGCCAGGCATGGTGGCTCATGTCTGTAATCCCAGCACTTTCGGAGGCTGAGGTGTGTGGATCACCTGAGGTCGGGAGTTCGAGACCAGCTTGACCAACATGATGAAATCCCGTCTCTACTAACTACAAAAAACTAGCTGGGCATGGTGGCACATGCCTGCAATCCCAGCTACTTGGGAGGCTGAGGCAGGAGAATCGCTCGAACCCCCGAGGTGGAGGTTGCAGTGAACTGAGATTGTGCCATTGCACTCCAGCCTGGGCAACAAGAGTGAAACTCTCTCAAAGAATAAAAATGAATAAATAAATAAAATATGCTGAGCCCGGGACAGGCTTTGTGCATGAAACATTGCTCTCGTCCGAGTCCCCACATCTTGAGTAAAGGTGTTCTGTGATGCCACGAACCCTCCTCCACTTATATGAATTTTTATGTGATGGCAAGAATCCGTCTCTTATCACTATCAATATGTTTTGAGTCCTGTCATCCGTTCACTTACCCATTTCCCCCAAACCCCATTTATTGTGTTTCTAAATACACCAGACCCTAGAGTGTAGAAGAAGTTACTTGTGCCCTCAAGTACACCATCAAATGATGGCATGTAACACCAGATGAGATATACCCTGGCACTAGATAGGGTGGTATAGATGGTAGCCGTGGTCTCCCATCAGAGGGGAGGGTCATCTGTCAGGGCCAGAATCATCCTAGGAAATTCCTGAAGAAGGAGGTACTTCAGGGGCTGTGGACATAGAGATGAGGACACACACACCAGGTGGGCGGCACCATGTAAGTGAGTGCACCAACGTGAGAATGATTGCACAGGTTGATCAGCAGCCTGGACTGGCTAGAAGCCAAGGATTCAGCTGCTTGGGGCAATGTAGCTGGGTGAGAGAAAGGGGGACTACATGCTTACAGGCTAGAAGGGCAAGTGAAGAACTATTTGTGTGCTACCATTTTTGCGAAGGAGAGGGATGTTGGAATGGAAGAATACTCTGCAAGGGAGAAGAATCTTGGTCTAGCATTTTGTCCTATATATTTCAAACATGTTGATTTTAATTAAAGTTTAACTTGAATGGCTCATGATGATTCAGAATTTGTGATAAATTCAATAGAAGAATCTAGGTTAGGGTTGTAGAGCCCACCTGTTGCTGAAGTCTGGGGTGAAGCCATGATGGCTCAGTCTGGGCGGTGATGAGAGTGAAGAGAGATGGATAATTGGGAGCAAAATGAAGAACTCTTGGGACAGATGAGTGTAGAGAATTCAAGGCAAAGTGAGTCAAACATGAGTCTGAGCTTTGAGCTGGGGAAACGGGGAGCATGGCCATGGGTTGACAGAATAAAAGGTTGGGCAGGGGAGTGGTTCAGGGAGATGACAAGTTTTATTTTAAGTCTGTTGCCTGGGATTTGCCAGAGTGACCTGCCAGTGGAAATGGCCAGCAGGCATTTTAGATATAGATAAGGACTTCATAATCTACGGTTATTTTTCTCACATTGGGTTTTCTCAGAAGCCACATGGCTTATTCTGCTAAGTCATGGGGACACTGACTCCAGACCCAACACCAGGAGCCAGCAGACCCTGCGTGGGAAGAACCACCAAGCCAAACAAAGACAGGAAGACTAAATAGGGGACGATCCTGATAATGTCCCTTCGACATCTCTAGAATTTCCCCCATCTCTACCTCCAGAAAGGCTGGCCCTTGGCACTTAATAGAAAAGCAAGCTGCTCTTTCTGTCCTTTTATGCCTCCACCTTCTCAATTATTTCTTTTCCATTCCTTTCCCTGTCCATCACCTTTTCCATGATTTGTGGTTGTTTCTGTCTTCCTAGCATTTTTAAACACTTTCTCCTCTCCTCTCTCTCTCTGGGGTGGGCAGTTTACAACTTTCAAGCTCACAAACAACAACCTCGGTGAGGCTTCCAGTGAGCCCCTTGAAACAAGTGTGAAGAAATTTAAAAGTGTCAAGGTAGAACAACAGACCAGATTGGAAAGCTAAAGAAAATACATTTCACACATTTCTGGGGGGAAATGATCTGTTGTATTCCATGGAGTAATTAATTTGGTATTAACATTCCGAGATGTGGGGAGAACACTGCGCTCCCGCCTCTGGAGAGCCTCCACATACTCTCCTTTGCAGCCCGCCATTCTCACAGCTACAAGCCCTGCCAAGTTCTTTCTAGAACATAGTAATTTTGGTGACTATTTTTATATGCATATATGCTTTCCTTGATGTATGGCAAGCTTACGCTGCAGAATTCAGAAGATTGAGTGAGAAAGGCACGTGTTTCCATGCAGGACATTCATACTTCATGTGAATTCACACCCCTAGCTCTCCACCTTCATTCTGCCTCCATACTCCATTCTCACAATGCAAATCTACCGTTTGCCACCCTCCACCCCCACCCCAACTCATGAGTATTTTCAGGTCTAGTCCCTTCCCACCACACAATGGGTCTAGCATATTCCACCCCTCCTTCAACCCAGGTACACTGCTTTCCCATTATAAAATGTGTCTAGCCAGGCACGGTGTCTCACACCCATAAACCCAGCACTTTGGGAGGCCAAGGCAGGCAGATGACCTGAGGTCAGGAGTTCCAGACCAGCCTGGCAAACATGGTGAAACCTTCTCTATTAAAATACAAAAATTAGCTGGCGCGGTGGCACATGCCTGTAATCCCAGTTACCTGGGAGGGTGAAGCAGGAGAATTGCTTGAACTCGGGAGGTGGAGATCGCAGTGAACCGAAATTATGCCACTACACTCCAGCCTGGGTGGCAGAGCAAGACTCTGTCTCAACAACAACAAAAAAGTGGCTAGCATTTTGTTCTATATGTTTCAAACATGTTGATTTTAATTAAAGTTTAACTTGAATAGATGTTGATAATTCAGAATTTGTGGGAATTTTGATAGACTCAGTAGAAGTTACATATAGTGGCAGTATAAAGGAGCTTGGCCCTCTGATAATGCTAAAGCAGATTTCAGAGGGCAGTGTTAGAGTTGAGAAAGCAAACTTTTTGGATATTTTAGCAGCAAGGATACATAAGTAGTTTAAGAACTGGTGGGCTCTTCTGTCCGTTACAGCAGGGATGCCCAAGACTGTTAAATGGCAATACTTTTTCATAGTCATTTGTTTATTCTAGTATTCCAAAGTACTTGAACGCAATATAACTTCCCCTTTTTATTGTTTCTGTAATTGTGTTCTTGCTGTTCCAGATTTTTTTCTGAATAAGTTTGAATAATTGGAATTTTGCTTAATCTTATTCTTACTGTAGTGCTGTGTTTCCTTCAGGGTTTTTGGGAAAGCCAAATGGAGCTCAGAAAGCAGTACGGACCTCTGTGTGGGTAAGAAGGAAACTCAACATTTCTATATGATATTTCAGTTTTCATGTGTTGAACTGATACGGAAGAAGTGCCAAGATTAGGAATGTTGCATGTGTTTCTGTTTTTTGAAGGGCCCACAAAGAGGGTGTCCTGCAGTGCAAACAAGGCTTCTAGAGAAGAGCCTGGGGCCGCCCCAGGGGAACCGTGCTGGCCTGAAAGAGTACCACCTTCCAGGCTTTGCATCCTTGCTGGGCCAGGCACATCATCATGTCGTGCTGCTGTGCTGAGGGATATCACCATGGGATGTGGTGGCCCTCTTGCCTCAGAGCACAGACTGTCCAATATGCCTTGACAGTGCATAGAAGGTCTTACCCCTGAACCTTATCAGACTCGGGTCCTTCAGCCCATGGGGAGAGTGTGCTGCCAGCAGCATGACCACGTAATTTATCACCCAGTCCAGTTCCCTTTTGAAAGTGAAAGGAAGTGCTATTAATAATTACCCCAGGATGACCGTGTCAACTATCCCAGATACGCTGGGGCAGATGGTCACCCTAGTTCTTGGCTGTGTAAAGTAATATCACCCTTCTCTTTGTTTTTCCTGAATTTCCCCCTTTTATGCTCATTTGTTTCTAAAATTCCAGATTCTGGTGAGCAAACCCATGTTCAGACCACTTACTCTATTCAAGATTTAACAGGCTTGAATTGTATTGATTCTCAACATGTGTCTTTCCACACTGGAGTCCTAATCATTTTAGTCGGTTTTCACACAGCTTCTCTTCAGCCACTGGGCGATTTTTTGGCAGCTTTTCCTAGACCTCTGGGTCAGTGATCACTTTTGTAGGTGCATTAAAGCTCTCTTGTGTTGCTGATACACATCCCAATGGGCTCCAGTGATTTGGGAGTCCTTTCTCCATAGGATTCATGATGTCTGGTCTCCTGATACCCATTTTTGAAAGGGATTGGCTTGTCATCTTTGTGGAAATGGCCACACTTAGGAGGCCTATGGTTTTGGTCAAGTTCTTCTACCTTTGGTTTGCTATGTGGCCCTGAAGAAGTAATAAATTACGATGTTAAGATGCTCTCTGTATTACTCATTGCTGCATAATAGACTACCCCAAAACTCAGTGACATAAGCAACAATTTATCATTTATCATGTGTCTAAGGGTTGGCTGAAGTTGGCTGGCCTAAGCCACACTTGGCTGGATGGCTCTGCTGTACTTCTGGATGTATCTGCTGGGGAGGGTCTCGCCTGGGGCACCAAGTCTCTGCATGTCTCTCATTCTCCTTGGAAGTATAAGAATAGCAGGTTCTTGTGGTAAAGGCAGAAACTCAAGAGAGCAAGCCTGATGGTGCCAGAACGTTATAGATTTCTGCTGCATCATGTCAGCTTATACCCTATTGGTCAAACCAAGTCACAGGGCCAAACCCAGGATGTGGGCAGGAGGACACAGTGTCCACTTTGAGGCCAAAGCAAAACAGCTGGCCCAGCCTGACACTGATGGAGCAGGGAGGTGTACTCCTCGGATGGACAAGTGGGGAGGCCGGGTGCATCATTAAATAACAAGCAACCTACTTCACTCCCTAAAATCTCTTAACTTGGCCTTCACTTACTTTTTCATTTTTATTTTTCAGTGCATAGCTTCTTGCTAAGTGTGATAGGCACTCAATAAAGGCTCAAGAGATTGAACTGTCAACCTTTCTCTTACCCTTGTGTGGTTCTATTGCTTTTTTTTTTTACTGAGATGGAGTCTCGCTCTGTTGCCCAGGCTGGAGTGCAGTGGGACGATCTTGGCTCACCGCAACCTCCACCTCCTGAGCTCGAGCAATGCTCCTGCCTCAGCCTCCTGGGTAGCTGGGATTACAGGTACCTGCCACCATGCCTGGCTAATTTTTGTATTTTTAGTAGAGATGGGGTTTTGCCATGTTAGCCAGGCTAGACTCAAACTCCTGACCTCAAGTGATCCGCCCATCTTGGCTCCCAAAGTGCTGGGATTACAGGCATGAGCCGCCGCACCCGGCCTATTGCTTTTTAAAGGTTCTCATTCCAGCTCTTTCTTTCTGACAGTCTCATTCTGTAGCTGACTTGGCAATGACTCGGAGACTGTCTCATATGCTTCTGAGACACAGCACTGACTCAGAATGACGGTACCTTCACCAGAATCAGAAAAAGTCCTGACTGAGTTTGAATTCTAGGAACCACTTTACTTTAGTATTTCTTGTACAGATTTCCAAAGTAGAGACTTCGGGTATTTTAAAATAATTTTTAAATGTCAGATGAAGAGTTTAAAGGGCACTGTATGAACTAGTTCTGTGTGCGTGTGTGTGTGTGTGTGTGTGTGTGTGAAAGAGAGAGAATGAGAAAGAAAGAGAAAATAACAGAAGCAGAGAGAGAAGGAGAAAGAAAGAGAGGTGGAGAGAATTAGTCTCCTTGACAACAGGATATCCAATCAACTTTTTCCTCCAACTTTAACTAAGTTAACACAATTTGTCCTTTTCATTTCAAGAAAACCTAAATCATAGAGAATGATTTCAAATGAGGTTATAGAGATCAAAATTGCAGTATCATCTTCATTCTTTGTTCCCACTTCTAGTGAAAAGGAAAAAAGAAAGGTGATGGCATAATTTCTTCCTATAAAGCTATCAACTTTTTTCCTTTGACAAAAAAAAAAAAGATGAGCCATAAAATGCTGACTTCTTTTTAAATGTGTCTACTCCCAGATTTACAGGCAATATGGTGGCGAGGTAAAAATGAAAGGATTGAACCAATCTAAATCTAAGATCTTTTCTAACTCTAAATGTTATTTTCTTACTGCTTAAATTTTAGCAAGATAGTTTCACTGATTGAGAATGGTCTATGCTCAGTGAACAACGAAGACTCTTCTTGCAGAGAACAATTTAATTTAAATTACATTAGTTTTTGGACTACTTCTATTAGAAAATATAATCAACCCAGCTTGGTCCTCTTAAAAATTGAAGTAATAGATTGATTCATCATTTGACAAGTGAAACCCCACATTCCATGCTGTTGATGCCAGGTAGAGATGCATTGGGCCTTGAGATGACAGCTTGGCACTGAATGTTGGGAAAAAAATGGGCAGGGCAGATCTCCTCACTGCTCTAGACTGGAAAGCCAAATGTGATGGCAATGCATACTTATCTGGTTGTCGCCCTAGCAAATCAGAGTTTGGGGCTCAAAACTGGAAACTGACCCCTTACCCCATTTCCCTTCCACTCCCTGCTATGGGGACAGTAGGGCTGGAGAAGGTTTCCATCAAGATAGGTTGACAACATCAATGTTTATCATTACCACCACTGCTTCCACCAGCACCACCATCACCACCACCATCATTGAGAACAAAATATCTTCACCAAGTGTCTACTTACATAACCTGCTTGCCAGGTTCTGTGTCTCTGCCTACTTTGAACTTGACTATAAAGCAGGAGGACTGGAGTGGATACCTATACTGCTATTAGTTGTGCTATAAAGAACTCTCCTGCATTGCACAGCAGACTGGACACGTAACACAAAGAAGGCAAGGCTTTATTGCTTTGGCTAACCTTCATCAATTAATGATTACTTGTTACCTCCTTCAGGCTGAGAATGAGCCCAAGTTAGATTTATATTCCTTTCCAAACTCTGTAAGAACAGAATCAACATAATTATCATACATTGGTGATTGAGTATGGTTTATATTCAATATATACCAATATTGAATATAAATGTATATTGATATATATTGAGTTTAAACATATATATTGATATATACTCAATATATCATGTTTGAATAGAGATTATATCCCCTCTAATTTGTAGCTGGACTTTGTAACCCAGTAGATGACAAGCCTTTATTATGTTATTACTATTAATTACTTATAGTTAAGTAAGAATAAATACGTACACAGCACCCTAAGTTCAGGTCATTAGCAACTCCTAAAGGCCCCCATTCAAAGCGGCTTTTCCCTTTATCTCGTTGTTTTGCTTTTGTTTTTGTTTTTTGAGACAGAATCTTGCTCTGTCATACAGGCTAGAGTGCAGTGGCACAATCTCAGCTCACTGCAACCTCCACCTCCCAGGTTCAAGCTATTCTCTGGTGCCTCAGCCACCTGAATTGCTGGGATTACAGGCATGTGCCACCATGCCTGGATAATTTTTGTATTTTTGGTAGAGACAGGGTTTCTACCATGTTGGCCAGGCTGATCTCAAATTCCTGACCTCAAGTGATCCACCTGCCTCGACCTCCCAAAGTGCTGGGATTACAGGCCTGAGTCACCATGCCTGGCCTATCTAATTGTCTTTTAAATGCTTGCTCTAAAGTTCTACTTTTCTTTAGCCTCATCCCCATTTCTTCTTTTCCCCACATCACTTTAGTTTTGATCTTGGCTCCCTCTTGTTGAGCTTGACTTTCATACTTCCTGGCATCCATCACCTGTGCCAGGAAGTGCCACTTTTGTTAAGTGGCTCCTGCATCCTGGATCCCTTCATGAGGCCGGCCTTGTTGCAAAACCTCATATACTCCCATTAGAGCAGCAAGTCGTAGGTAGGTAAGTATGAACTTTGCACATAATTCATAAAGTACAAAGGAGTTTAAGAAAAAAGTACTCTTGCTCCCACCCTGGGGCCCAGCTGCTCCTTCACAGAAGCAACCTCTGTTAAAAATTTCTTTATAGTCAAATGGATCATATATGATACATGCTGTTCTTTGCCTTGCTTTGTTCATTAATGGTATTTGGGAAATTGTCCCATTTTGATCCATTCATTCTTATTAAATTATATAGTATTTTTAAAGGATTTCCTTTTATGAATATATCCTAATTTTTAAAACAAGTTCTCAGTTGACAAATATCTCTTACTTTTACAGACACCATTGCAGTGAAGATTTTCATATACACATTGTTGATGTCTGGGATAAATATGTAAGATAAATTCCTAGAAATGGAATTAATAGGCCAAAGGTGGTCTACATTTTTAGTTTCTTCTTTTTTTTTTTTTCGAGACGGAGTTTCGCTCTTGTTACCCAGG